CCCTCCCTTTGGGGAGGTGCCCTGCTCTCCCAGGAGTTCCAGAATATTTTATCCTGCCTGGCAGTCTGGAGGGAAGCCACTCGGAACAGACAGCATTGCCTGACCTCCCACCCCCAATCCCAGCCCCACCCCCAGCCCTTGTACCTCACTCTTAGCAGGGGACTCAGGCGTGCTTGGCTTCCGGACAGCCATGGGCGGAGGCAGGGGGCTGCTGGCCAGGGTTGCAATCACCTGGCCCTGGGCATTCAACAACAGTTGGGGGGTCACGGCCTGGACCTGCAGGCTTTGGGCTGGTGCTGGGGCCGCCACACTAGCTGAGTTCACTACCCATGGAAGTGTTCCAATAACCTGGAGGAAATAAGCCAGGGACCCCAGGTGTGAGGGCAATGTCCAGCTCCACCCCCAACCACAATCCCCACACTAGCAGGGAAAGAAACTATGTTGAACAAATCACTTAACCCCTCTGGCCTCAGCTTCCTAATCAATAAAATGAAGGATTAACACTCCAAGGGCTGCTTCCTTTATTCTACTCCTGGGGCTGTGGTGGAGCAGGGCCAGGTCTGGATGTGAATCAGAGAAACCCAGATGTAAATCCCTGCTCTGCCACATTTTAGCTGTGTGGCTTAATTTTTCTGAACCTCAGCCTTCCCTTCTGTAAAATGGGAATAAATATCTCCATCTAATAGATACATGCTCAAAACGAAGTGGGATAATGTATGAGAAAGCATCTAGCACAAAGCCTGGCCATAAAGCGGGTGCTCCATAAATGAAACCCCCCAACTAAGGGGAGCGCCTGTAGGACAGGGTGGTGGCTATGCTCCTGCCCGGCCTCAGAATCAACAGAGCTGCCACACTGGAAATGCTAACAGCAGCCTGACACCCTGTTCTAGCTTTCTGACTCCCAGCCCAAGTTCTGGTCCCCTCCTGGCCAGCTTCTCCACAGCCCCCACCCCTCAGCCCTGCGGTTGACCACTTGCCTGTCCCTGAGCATTGGTGAGGATCTGACTGCTGATCCCCTGCATGCTGGGAATGGCGTTGGTAATGACTGGAGTTGTAGTGAGGGAGCCCAGGATCTGGGTCTGTCCCCCGAGGGAAGCAGCACTGATCTGTGGGTGGAGGAAGAGCCTTGCTCAGAGGCCAAGTGGTGAGAAGAGCCCAAGGCAGAGGGAAAAGGGCTGAGGGCATTGGGGTGGGCAGATGTGAATGTGGGCTGCAAGCCCATGTCCACCAGCTGAATAGTTTCCAGGGCTAGGGGATACAGGGGGGCAGCAGAGAAGGGTGGGGCCACAGTCATGGAACAGTAACTCTGGTTAATCTTTCAGGCCAGGCCTGGGAGGTAGTAGTACCAGATTGGAGAGGCTGATGTGATCCTGGTCACATCTAACAGCTCCCACTGCCAAGCTAGGAGCTACACTGGAAGGACACCCACACAGAGCTGTAAGCCTCTAGCTGCACCTTAGTGACAGCGTACAAGTTTGCAACCCCCAGGCATCATCCCACCCTCCAAGGCTGGTCCAGTGGTTCAGGTTCTGGAGAATTTGCCCAGCTCCCTTGGCAGAGGTTGTCTACTTTTTTCTGGGATGGATGGGCTGGCAGCTGCAAGGAGAAGGCCTCGGAGGGAGCCCATCTCTGCTGATGTGTTGGAAAAGGACCAGCTCAGGGGGCTGGTCCTCCCCTGTGGGAAGGCTGTTTCACCCTTGGCTCAATATTCGGTCCATCCCTGGTCAGCCCTGGGTGAGGGCAGCAGCTTACGATTCCTGGGCTAAATGCGAAGCCTGCAGTCTGGACGGTGATCTGTGGGGGGGTGTCCACTGGCTTGGGGGTGGGGGCAGCAGTGGTGGCAGCAGTGGGCTGCGGTAGGATGGCAGGCGTGGTCTGTAGCAGCGGCTGGGTCTGGAACAGCGTCTGGGGCTGGGCTGGTGGCCGGGGCTGGGCTGGCGAGGAGGCCTGTATTGGTGGGGCAGCTTGTACAGATGCCGGGAGAGCAGTATTCAGCACAGCAGCTGCTATGGAGCAAGGCAGAGACAGAGGGGCTCAAGTGCCTAGCCACGGCCCACAGCGGCTCCAATCCCATGGGTTCTGGCACAAGAATGAGAAGGGGTTGGGGCAGTGGGCATGGGGGCAGACAGCCATGAATCCCTTGATCCTTGAAG